AACAAAAAAATCTGTTTCAAATTAAAAGCATGATTTCCAAAGCCTTTCCTTTTCCAACGTATTTGATACTTACTTAAAAACGCACTACTGGGAGGAGATCGTCGGAGTGCCAGCGGGCTTGGAAGAAGCTGTGAAGAAGAAGGTTGTTGCTGCTGTCGTTCGTGTCGTTCCCTTGCGTCGTCGGAGATCATGGGTATGCAAGAGAAAAGTGGTGATGGTGGGATAAGAGAGATGGAGAGAAGAAAATACGGTGATGAGGTGATGGGTTTCTAACTCTCTGCACTGTGTGTCCCTCTTGTGTGCTTTCTCCCCCTTAAATACTAAAAAAAACAACTGTGATATATGCTAAAATAAGAAAGCCAGAGAAAATGGAGGAAGGAAGGGGAGGAGGAGATGCCACGTTAGGTTTTGACCGGGAAAAAATCAAAGGGAGAAAAAAAAACGGTTAAATAAAACAAATTTTTTTTTAAATAAAATTATTTACTTAAAAACAAATCATTTTTATTTATCTATTTTTATTTTAATAATAAAACAAAATCTAAACAAATCATTTTTTTATTTTCTTATTAATAAAATTAACATTTAAATAAATCTAACACTTTAATTTTAGTTAATTTAAACTTTATATTAAAACTAAAAATAAAGTAAACCTATTTATTCTTTAATTAAAATAAACCTCAATAAAGTAAAATACAATAATATAAATTAAAATTAAAAGTAAAAATAAGCCGGACCAAATACGGTGTCTACAATCTATATACGTTATGTTTATTGCATCTCATAGAATTAACCTACATTCTCTTAAATTATTTCACAAGTCTTAATCCTTGTTTTACGCCCCGTTCTGAGCTAGCAGGGGACCTAATAAACCTACAGATCAGAAGCTCCAAAGATACGAGATTAGATGATTAAACTCATCAACCAAAATAACCAACATTTGTTAACTGTGGGTCACTCCACTAAATACCCGCACTTGCACTCTTCACATGAACGATTTGGATTAAGTTGTTTGTAACTCTTACAAAATGGGTCGTATCCATAATGTTACCAAGATAAGATACCCAACCTTACCCATATACTATAGATCTTTTAGACTATTACTGGAACATTATCCACTTGTATGTCGAATATATACTATATATTAAATGTATACCTTATATATCAATTATACACTATATATTGAATATATACCATGTATATCAATTATATACTATATATCAGTTATATACTGTTCCAGATGCATGACATAACCTCGGATGTTAACTAATATACCTAATATATGCAGTACACTAGCTTATATACTTTGATATATTTCATTCTAGGTATATTGATTACTGATATATGCTTTGATGTACCTCGTACCTAAGGGTAAAATTGGAATAAATGAAAAATAAAAAAATCAAATTTAGAATATTTTGCCTTATTTGAAAAATAAAGAAGTTGTTGCTATACAACATCTTACAACATAATATATTGAAATGAGAATGGCAGAATCCCGCTAAACAAGCACTTATTGGTAAATAAGATAATTCATACTATTATTTAGTTGAAGAAATAATTCTAAAATAAAATAGTTGCGTATGAAAATTATTTTAGCTGCCCATTATAAATTTCCATAAATTCTAGACTACTTCAAACAATTACAAAGAAATTTTCATTAATAATTAATATTTTGTTAGTAAAACAAACTTTATTACAAAATTCAATCATACTMCAACTTTTATACTTTTGAAACTATAGAGGTATTTTCTAAACAAAGAGCAAAATTTAAGATTACTTTTCGTTACTTACCCTTAAATACATTATGTGTTGATTCCTAGGAGTCTGTTTTGATAACTATTTCAAGTCCGTTTCATAACCATTTTGTTTTCGGCTTTTGATTTTTGGTTTTTAGTTTTTTAAAAATAGGATTGTTGGATAACCAATTCAATCTTTTTGTTTTTTTGTTTTTCAAAAACCATTTTGAAATTCTAGGTAAATTTCAAAAAAAAAAAGTTTTCAAAAACATGTTTTTGTTTTTCAAAATCTGATTTTTTCTTCTAATACTCAACTTTTTTTTTCTCATATTTATCTCTAAAAATTTATTTCTCACTCTAAAATTTTTTTATTTCTAAATTTCTCTCTACAAACTTTATTTTTTTCTCTAAAATTTTTATATTTTGAATATTTATTATTATTTGTCTCTTCCAAAATTTTCTATATTTTTATTTCTTTTTTCTAATAGAAATGTTTCATTTCTCTCTCTAAAAATTTAATATTTTACCGAACTTTTTCCTTTTTAAAACTTCGGCTTTTTTAACTTTTCTTTCTCTTAATCTATTTTTTCCTCTGAAAATTATATTTTATTTTCTCGTTCTATTTTCTTTCACTGTGAGGAGAGCATCCTTACTTGCACTCACATTATTGTCATCTCTATTTTCCTCCATTTTCTAACTTTTTAAAAACAAAAAACTAAAAATAGTTACCAAACATATTTTGCTTTTCTGTTTTTTAAAAACAAGAAACAAAAAATGGTTATCAAACATATATGATTTTTATTTTTTAAAAACAGAAAATCAAAATCCAAAAACTAAAAACAAGAAAAACAAAAATGGTTATAAAAGAGGGCCCTTCGTTTTCTGTTTTCTATTTTTGGTTTTTAGTTTTTGAAAAAACAAGCTTGTTCTATAATCCATTCAATTTTTTGTTTTCTATTTTTTAAAATCGTTTTTGAAATCCTTGGTAAATTTCAAAAAAAAAATAATAATAATAAGTTTTTAAAAAGAGGTTTTTGTTTTTCAAAATTCCATTTTTTTCTAATGCTCAACTTTTATATTTTCTTTGATATATTTTTCTCTGATAATAAAATATTTTTCTAACTAAATTTCTCTCTCTAAAAAAAAATTTATCTTTCATTCTCTAAAATTTTCATCTCTCAAATATTTCTCACCTCTCCAAAATTTTCATTTGTATGTATTTATAATTATTTATTTTTTTTCCTAACATATCACTTTCTTGTTTCTATCTAAAGATTTAATATTTTTTCCAACTTTTCTTATTCTCAATTTTACATTTTATAACATTTCTTCTTCTGTCTAGTCAATTTTTCCTCTAACAAATATATATCTTCAACTTTTCTCTATCGAATTTTTTTTCTATCGAATTTTTTTTCGTTCAATTTTCTTTCTCTCTTATATCTTTCTCTTTTTTATTTATTTACTTTCTGTAACAAATATATTTTGAACTTTTTCTTATCCAAACTTTGGTCTCACCATAATTTTTCTTTCTCTTTCTTTTTTTTTCTTTCTTTAACATGTCTTTTGCCCTAAACTTTACTCTCTCTAGAATTTTCTATTTTTGACTTTTAACTTTTCTCTCACTAATTTGTTTTCTAACTTTTCTCTACCTCTCTAAAATTTACTATCTCTAAAAGTTCTCTTTCAAAATTTTTTTTTATCTCTCTAAACTTTTGTCTTCATGTCTCTACATTAGACACAACAAAAATTCTCATACGATCTAGTTTCCGCTTTAAAGAACAAACAATAAATTTACCACCATGTCCCACGTCCCATTGTATTTTTTGAATAATTAACATATATTTTATTAATTGTTTTTCTCAATTATGAATAAATATTAATCTAATTATTTATATGAATAAATAATAATTCTTTTAGTTAAATAATATAAATTATATATCTTTATTACTTTTTATTTTTTAAATTCTAAACATAATTATAATTAATTATTAAGCCAATAATTTTTCTCGTGAACATCCTCACCTCGAAATGAGGATTCCTGAACCTAGACCTTGATCCTCGAAGTTGAAGAATGGGTTGGAGATGAGAATTAAAAATTTCGTGGAAGAGGCATCTCGACTCCTACCCCCACACTGTTGTCATCTCTAATATTTTACATAACTTTTTCTATCTCTAACATATATTTTTAATTTTCTAACTTTTTAAAAACACGAAACCAAAAATGGTTATTGTTGACAGCAAATTTCGGAGAGGTCTATGTGTCACTCGGATGGGCATGTACGCTGAGGAGCAAATGAGGCTACAATCAGAAAACTCGACGTCGGTACGGTGTCTCGCCTAATACACTCCAACGTTCAAGTCAGTAATCGGAGTAAAGAAAATAGGAGTAGACACCTTAGGATTTCAGTGATAGGGTTTTCACTTACCTGGTGTTGGTGTGAGTAATTCCATTTTATAAGCATGTATGGCCGACCAGAAAAGACGATGGCTGGGGATGCGGAGGCACACCGAGCTGTACGAGGCTCTGACGAAGGGGTCGGACGCTCCCAACAAACAGTGGGCGGTGCCTCCATGAGCTAGGATCAAACTCTTCTTTGAGTATGATTGGACCTTGCAGACCTGCGACTGGCAGTTTTCAGGCTACAATCTTTGGCGTCTCACTCCTATAGGAGTAATGACAACATGCCTATACGCCTGCACAGAGTACGGTTGATAACCACTTTCGATCCTGCGCCTCGTTGTCACGGCCATAATTAGACGCGTGATTATTCTCATATTCTTCCTCAATAGTTATCAAACGTAGGTTTAGTTACTAGTTTTTCAAAAACAAAAAGCAAAAATCATTATAATTAATATATTATAACCATAACATTAATAGTATTTAAATATAATAGGTTGGTTAACTAGTTTTTTTTTAGTACGTTAACTAGTTAATTGTATATGAATTTCAGCATGTTATATTTAAATGCTCCTAGAAAAATATGATCTGCACTTCCGACCAAACATTTCAATCCTCACCCTACCTATTATACTTAAAAAAAAGTTGCAAGAACTACCAAAATCGATCCAAAATAAAATAATATAATTTAACCAATAATTTAGCTCATTATAAAATAAAACCTAACTATTTTTTTTCACATGACGTATTCGCTTAGCTCATTTCACTCCAAAATTATTCCATTCCTATCCAATCCCTTTAGGTTCGAACAATACAATGTTACAGTCCACATATTTATATTACCCCTCATCTAGCTCCTACTTCTACATAGAGAACATCCATTTTTATCCACTTTTTTAGAGAGATCAAACAGATCATAAATGGGAAGCCATGAAGAGGGACAAAGAAGAGGCCGAGAAGTTCATGTAGTGGTGGTGCCATGTCCAACACAAGGCCACATAAACCCGCTTCTCCAATTCGCCAAGCACCTCACCCATCGCGGGCTCAACGTCACGCTACCCACCATCCTCACCAATAGCAACCCCACGCACCTCGCGCTCCACACCTCGCTCACCATCCAACACGTTTCTCTCTTGCCATACCAAGGGACCGAGCCCGAGAATCCCCTCGCCTTTTGGGACCGCCGACAAGCTTCCATCCGCTTGCATCTCACCGAGCTTCTTACTCGACGTGAAAGCAGTGGCGATTCAGTTGATTGTATCGTGTACGACTCTATGATGCCTTGGGTTCTTGATGTTGCTAAAAAGTTTGGAGTCTTAGGAGCTTCCTTCTTCACCCAATCCTCTGCTGTGAACGCAATTTACTACAACGTTTACAAAGGATGGTTGAATGTTCCTTTGCAAGAGAAGTCTGTTTTGTTGGAGGGGCAGCTTCCAGTTCTTCAGCCATCCGACCTCTCAACTTTCGTTTCTGAGTCCAGCAAATACCAAGCAGTTCTTAGCTTTCTGACTGACCAATTCAAAAATTTGGACGTTGCTGATTGGATCCTGGTCAATACCTTCGATTCCTTAGAACCAAAAGTAAGATCCCGAAACTCAAAGTTATCTTAAGCTTTTGGATTGGTTGGTGTTTTAATCATGTTTGACATGATATTAAAATAAGAGGTTCTATATATTTTGTGTCGTTGTTTCCTCTCTATTTATATTCACTTTCACTTGCTGGGTTTGATAATGTTGTATTTGCTAATGGAAAGAAATGTATTAGGAAGCGGAGTGGATGAGAAGGCAGCTTCCATTCATGAGCATTGGGCCGATGCTTCCCTCCGTCTACTTAGATGGAGGACTACCAAACGATAGAGATTATGGGGTTAGCTTGTTTGATGAATCTGATATGGACTCGACCATGAAATGGCTCGATACGAAAGACAAAAGCTCGGTGATTTACGTGTCGTTTGGAAGTTTGACAGAAGCGAAAGAGCAGCAGATGGAGGAGGTAGCATGGGGGCTGAAGCTCAGCAACAGATGCTTCTTGTGGGTGGTGAGAGAGTCTGAGATCCATAAGCTTCCACCAAGTTTCATAGATGAGACGTCCGAAAAAGGGCTGGTGGTGAATTGGTGTCCTCAGTTGGAAGTTTTGGCTCACGACTCGGTGGGGTGTTTTGTTACGCACTGCGGTTGGAACTCGACACTTGAAGCCTTGAGTTTGGGAGTGTCATTGGTGGCAATGGCGCTGTGGTCTGACCAACCCACCAATGCCAAGTATTTAGAGGATGTGTGGAAGGTCGGAAAGAGGGTGAGAGTGGAGGAAAATGGAATATGTACGAGGGAGCGAATAGCAGAGAGCATTAATGAAGTTATGGAAGGAGAAAATAGTAAAGAGATTAGAAGGAATTTGAATGGATGGCGGCAATCGGCAAAAGAGGCCATGGACCAAGGAGGAAGCTCCAACACAAACATAAATGATTTTGTACAACAACTTCTGAGGAAGACACAACTTTCTTACTGATTGGGGGTTTATTCCACAATATTCTTGTTATATTCAAAGAGAGTGCAAGTGGAGTGAGTGATTTGGTAACAAAAATCTTAAAATTAATAATAATAAAAAATAGAGAGTTGTATTCTTCAATGTTTTTGCTTTGAAAATGGAAATAAGTACTCTATTAGATCCCAAATTCTATTAATATATAGAGAGAGTTTATATTGTTTTGAAAAGTATATATATTTTAAAGGAAAAGTATTTAGTCTTCAACTTGAATTTGTATATCTTGTCTATTTCAAAAGTTTTTAGATCTTGAATGAGTTTTCTCTGCTCATTCTCGTCAAATGGGTTTTCGCAATCCTCCCCATGTTGTTGAAAATTTTGTAGCTATGACAACTCCACTTCAAATAAAGTTTTAAAAAAGACTAGATAAAGAGATAAATAATAGAAGCACTAGAATTTTATAGTAATGGCCTCCTCTTTAATAACTACACGATCCACTAAAATGGATGAAAATTACAATATAATGAAGATTCAAACAATCTTAAAACTATTTTTTCTATATTTTGTTTCTCTGAAAAGTAGCTTAACAACTCTTGCAAAAGTCCACACCAACTCTCCTTGCTACCTTATCTCTCCTTGACTCAAGAATATTCAAAAAGTAAAAAAAATAATAATAAATAGTTGCAACTTTACAAAATAAATTGTTGCCCACTCAACCTTAGCGACTATGCTAAATTCTTTTCAAAAAGACATCATAGGGTCTATAATTCTATCTTTCTCTTGTTTTATAATATTTAATGATGTATTATGAAATAATGAAAATAGTAAATATTATACCATAAGTATTTAGTTAAGATAGATCCTAAATTCAATTCCTAAAAAAAAATAATAATAATAAATTCTCTTAATAAGCATGTTGATATATTTTATAATTTTCTAGAAAAGTATATTTTAAATTAAAAAGTACAATGGTCTTCAATTTTAATTTGTATACCTGTCTAGTCTATTCAATGGTACTGTTTTAGATCTGGAATATGTGTTTTGTCTCTTCCTCAATGAAAGGGCTTCTGCTTCCCTCTTTTCCACCTTCAAGTCAAGATCCTTGAATGCGGACTAGTACTTTTTTTTTTCTTTTTTTTTTAATTGTTGTATTTAAAATATCCACAAATTCATAATAAATATGAGGTAAAATTTTGAAAAAATATTCAAGACAATCTATACTATATATAAAAAGTAGAATAGGTAGATATACAATAGGGAGAAATTTTATCTCCCTATTCTGCGAAGGTAAGTTTGTCATTCATCTCTCCATTTCTCTCTTCAAATATAAATTCCACTAATTTTCTTTCTGCCACTCCCGCACGTCACTCTCCCCCTCCAAATCCCCTCAAATTCCACCAATTAATTTTCTCTTCTTAAAAAACTTCATTTATCTCTTTGAGTCATTTCATTATTTTTCTTTCTCATTCACTTTTAGACTTTTTTTTTTCCTCCACAAATCTCCTTAAATTCTACTAATTTTCTTTCTGCCTCATAAAAGATTGCACAGAAGAACTCTTCAGCAAAGCTCCTCCTCGGAAGTCTCCGAGGAGGGAAGTTCAGTGCTCCCGATTAATCCACAACTTCGAAAGTGTTCGAGTTCGGTCTACTTGAACCCGACACGACCGACCTAAAATCCTACCAAGGTAACTGCCTATCGTGACCCCTGTCGGAACCTGAACCTATAAATAGAGGGCTTCATTTCACCATCAGGCAAGAAATTTCTCCTCGAGCCTAATATTGAATCCGAGCTGCTTATTGACTTGAGCGTYGGAGATTTTGCCCTCTTGTACAGGTCTTCCCATTGCCTTTCGGGTCGGAGCTAGGACCGAGTTCGAGCTTAGTATCCGTTGTGCAAATCCTTGCATAAACAAAGACCAATGATCTAAACATAGAAGAAAACCATTCAAAGATATTAGAATTATTTGGAACCATTAGATAGATTGGATTTGTAGTCTTCCTCAACTATGGAACTTGGACTGAATATGGGCAATTATCTCTATCTTATGGGGAACAGAGGCTCAACAAGCACATTGTATTTGAGACCATAACCATCTATTTATGAGTTAATCTTCGGGTTTCTCATAATCCCCTAACATTAATGGGTTGGTCGTTCATATTCAGTAGGTCACACCACTAAATGGGAAGTCATTGGCCCATAATCAAGATCAGCCCATTAAATAGCTCAAATATAATTGCTTTTTAATTTGTTACTCACATATGACTTAATTATTAAATTAACTCCAACAATCTCCCACTTTGGTAACAATTTTCTTTATTAGCAATTATAACTAAATCAAAGATAAGAAGGCCAGAACCAGCTACCCAGGCCGATCACGGCCGACTCGGGGTCGGCACAGAGGCCTTCTCGACATTGAGGTGATATGTACCAAGGAGCTACCTTTGCTATGCCTCATGGACCGATTATAAGATCGAGAGCTAGGAAACTTCAACAAGCTTTGCTACTTCGTGTCCAAGCGTTCTTGAACTCGACAAGAGAAAAAAAAAGGAAGACGTGCAAGAAGTTGGAACTATGCACTTCAATTTGGTGCAAGTTATGCATTTTTAAGTGTTTTTAAGACAAGTCAAAGTCCACTTGGTCATGGTCAAGGTCAAAGTCAACTCCATCAAGACAAGTCAAAGTCAATTCATTCAATTCAAAAACCAAGTCAAACACTCACATCCCTCATTATGGACGGGATTGCACTTATTTTGGTTGGTTTTCCATTTTCTTAACCTTTTGATTTACTTGTCTTTCCATTTATTGAAGTTATGTCTTTTCATTTACAAGTCTTTTCATTTCTTGTAAGTTACAAGTCTTTTCATTTGCTTAAGACTTTTCATATGACTTGCTAGGATGGTTATATATAGCCTTGAGATATCTTGTTGTAAACACAATTTGAAGTTTAATGAAAAGTGAGTTTTCTCATTAGCTTGGTTGAGAGCTTTATCTCCCATTTCTTGTGCAATTTCTTGTATCTTTAGAATTTGCATGTTAGGATCATTCAAGCGGTGTTGATCATACTTCTTGTGGAGTGATTCGAATCACGAGTTTAGAAACGAGTTTTCTCTACTCTTGATATTGATCATCAAGGTAATYCGTTCTWAAACTTTTCCTTGGGTTGATTCCATACTTGTTTTCGGGGTTTTTGKGATTGAGTTCTATGGGTCTTGTTCGTTAGCAAGGTTCTTAGAACCAACTCTCAAGGGTTTCTTAACACGAGGTGTTCTCGGCCAACTGGCCAGGAACACCGGTGGTTTTCCTCGACCCTTTTATAGCCCGATCTGGTTCTACCCCGTCTTGATCCTTGATTCGATATTAAGCCCACGACAAAATACATGGGCCCAAGAGTCCAGATCAGCTAAGCACACTTAGATTCAACTTATGTAAATTCTAAAATGATGAGATTCGACTTCCATAATTCCTAAAGGGATTAAGATTCGACTTCTATAAATAGTAGGGTGAACCAAACACTAGACGTATGCTCACAATACCCTAAACTTTATACTCGACTAGTCCAATCGAAACCCGTGTGGTAAGAATCACACTGGTCTTAGTACTATTCTATTTTTTAGGTCTCGTCAATCCTTTTATTCTAGAAGATTGATGCAGATTTGACGGAATCCCAAAAGATCAAATTTCTACATTGACAGTGCCAAATATTGATAAATTATTAATTTATCACCATAATATAGTAACTATTTAATTAGCACAACATATCAGAAAAATTAAACTGTCGTCCATATATGCCCACAGATATTTATAACTATCTATGACTAATTATAAATATTATAAATATATGAATTAAAAAATAATAATAATAATAACTACTAATTGTAGTGGGCTAGTCCACTACAATACATCAATGGTGCTACGGTTCTCTAGCACCACCTTCCCTTAAAGCGGCAGTCATCAACAAACTTTTTAATTAATTAATTTTTTATTTAATTAGAAATAAAAATTATAATAATAGATTTGGAACTTAAAACAATATTGAATTTGATCAAATCAATTATGCACAGCGAACAATATTTAGCAATTAAAAATTCTAAATCTATAAAACTGTTCAGCATCTTATCAATCCAAATAATTTCAAAAACATATTTAAACAAATAGATTATTAAAAGAACAACATGCCTAAAAGTAATTCACAAAGATCCAGTAATAATCCATGCAAAACTTGGCTCTGATACCACTCTAAAAAATAGTTGGGACCATAACTATTTGTTTATAACTTAATCTTAGGGTTTCTAATAACTCTCAATTAGAAGTGTTTCTGGGCTATTTGGGACATTTTATGTGTGAAAATGCGAGGTTCCTTATCAAAAAAGATCTAAGAAAATGTGAGAATGTATTGAGTGGGCCCCCAAGCTCTTATAATTTCTAAATTCCTCTATTTTAATGATTCATGCTAAATTATGGACGGTTTATGCAGGAATGATTGATTTCGAACGAGAGAAGTGCTGCCAAGATTGTGGGGATTATGCTGGAGCGTTGAAAAAGAAGCGTTGATGTTGGAGCCTATAGTCTCCCAGATGCTCCAGAGCATATAATAGTGCAATAACTCTTTGAACTTTAATTGTTACCGCATCCATACAGCCTCCAAGAGGTGCCCTAAAATTTAAGGACCTGGTATATAAGGAAAAAATGCCCTAGCCGAAAAATGGGACACACTCTTGATTCATTTTGGGTAGCATCGGTAGAGAAACATTTCCCCATTGACATCAGCAGTTTTCATCGAAGAAGGAGTTGGAGAGTATCTGTTTTGCTCGTAGGTCAAACTGTACACCTGAGGAAGCTTCTTATTCTCTGTCATCTTCATCAATAATGGAATCCTCTTATGTCTAAAAGGATTTAATAGAAGTATGCTTATTTTTTTCATCTTGCTAAATTTGTGTGGCCAACTTGGTTAGTGTGTTAGCTCACGTGAGGCTCGGGAGAGTCCTTGTTGAGTGGATTTACTTCTATTAGCTGTTGTTTTCCCCATGTGAAGTGAGAAAGTGAATACTCAGGGATGAGTTCACCCTATAGCGCCTATAGATTGCATAGATTGCTCGTTTTAATCACGACAGGAGTCGGGTTAAAGCATGTGTTGGATATCTCGGGAGAGTGTCGTGAATATCTTGGCAATTAGTGTTTTAAAGTAATTTTAGATAGCTTCTTGGAGAAAAGCAGCGAATGGAAATCCCCTCCCCAAATTACTAACAAATCGTCATCCACATCATTTCTGTGTTTTCTGGGTGGATGCTCTTGGGTGCAGTTAGAAATTTTATCTGTCATTTTGCTGTTTTCTTCTTATGCATTTTAGATTAACAAAACAAATCAAGGCATCTTTCATTTTTACTTTTTGGTATCTCGAAATTACTGAATCAATTTGTAACCTATTTCCTTGAGGGGACGATCACCACACCAATGCGAAGTCATGAGCTCATAATCAAAATCACTTATATGCCCATTAGTCCAAATATAATTGTTATTTAATTTGTTATTAACGTATGAATTAATTATTAATTAATTCCAACAATACTGAAGGTGGAATTGCACATCCTTGCTTCCAATAGAGAGTTGAACAACACAATGAGATATGAATGTATGGAGTTTCCTACTTGAACGTATCGTTAGCAAGGAGACGACCCAAAGAATTTAGTAAATTTTATTTTA